ATACAGTCGACCCCCCTATAATTAAGGTCCCTATAATTACGATTCCTATAAAACCACGAAAAAATATACGTATTTTGGAAATGTTGAGTCGGATTAGTGTAGAATCGATTAATTTTATGGAAGAAAACCTTTCAATCAGCCGTAGTCCGTAAACTTGACACGTGTCCGGCTGTGATTGGAACGACTTGTAAGAAATCGGATTCCTAATAAATTGGAACGTATCTATATCTTATAGGAGGGTCGACTGTACTGTAAATATTATGGAGAATTTTTTGATTTATATAAATTACGTAGTGAATAATAATGTTTATATTCGTATCCAGACTATATTGGCAAATCACTCTTTGACACAAAACATATAATTAATGACGATCTGAACAAAGATGTACTAAAAGAATTATATGATTTAATATCATTAATTTTTAAGGTACCCTCTAACAGTGTGTCTGTTGAGCGCAGTTTTTCAACCACGAAGCGAATTGATACAGTGGCAAGAAACACACTCGGTCGGAGGAAAGATCGTCGTCACTAGCATTGCTTTCGATAGAAAAAGAGCCTTTTAATACTTTGACGGAATCAACGACAAGCTATTTTTATAATAAAGTAATTAACGACTTTGCGGGAAAAAATTTGCCTAATAGAGTTAGTTTATAAAAAATAATAAAAACAAGTTTTTAAATCTTTGTTTTGTGTCAATTATCTATTTTAGAATGAAAGTAAATAAATTGTTTATTTTTGTTATTTCCAGTATTTGTTCAAAATTTTTATGGAAACACAGCTTTCCTATCATCAAATGTCACGGCACGCCACTATTAAAAGAAACAACAAAAGAGTGTATTATCTTCTTACTATTCCAAGTAAATAAATAGATTTAACAAATAAATTAGCTGCTTCATACCTCGAGATGTCTACGTAAGAAGGCAACGGAATATGGTTTAAAATTATTTTCTGTCACCATTCCTTTAACTTTTTTTACTGCCTTCATTTTATTTTACTCTTTGCACCCCGGGACACAAAGCAATAGTAATATAGACTAATAAACGAATCGAGAATAATAAGAAACGCAACGCGACGACGCTCCGAGCAGAGGTAAATATTAACTCGAGATTCGAATTCAATCTTTTTACAAACGGATAGTAACAAAACCATATGCAAATAGTAATACGAAACAGAAGTAATCATCCTATACAATTATATTAGGCTTCTTATAATGTACTTGGCAATTAACTGATTATCGCGCGCGTGACGCGCGTCGTACGCGCCGCGCAACAATACCTATTTCGTCTATTGCTGCGTTAACAATAATTGCTAATAATATAGTTTTGGCGATTGTCAAAGCGAAATTTTTGTCGAAGTTATTCGATACGAGTTAATTTTCTGTTTATTATTTTGTTGAAGATGAGTTTTATCAGTAAGTTTACCACTTCCTCTTATACATATAATTTTATTCATTAGATCACCGCGGGTTAACAACGTAAATAAAAGCATCGCGTTAAATGTAACTTATAGAAAATAAATGAAAATATTCTAATGTAAACTATGATAATGATCAATTCTGTACTTTCTCGTTTCAATGAGTTAATTACATGTAATAATTATAAAATTATTATTTACAGATGTTGATTGTTATTGCATTGAAACTATTTTCTGGTACGAAGATGGTTTTTATGTTACTTATGATTATCAAGTAAGTGAAAAAATACAATTTTATCTTACTTTATCTTACAGTAAATATTCATACAATAACGGAAATAAATTATACAAGTGATGTTAAGATTGCATAAAAATAATACAAATACTTAATATTTTTATAACTAATTAATTCTGTTTTACATTTTAGTATTTCATACCAAATGGCGAATATAGACATTATTCACTACTTTTTCCATATCAGCAAGCTTCTGTACCGCTTGCTTACGGACATCCAAGTCAAGACGGTTTATACGGACCGCCATTAGAAGGATTTCAGACCCCAAATTATTGGTCAGAGGCGGAAGTGGTTTCAAATGAACCTTTCCAAGAAGAGCAGCAGTTTGAAGTGGCAACAAATATACCAGAATTTTGGCCACGGGCAGAGATGGAAGAAAATGAACTTCTAGAAGTTCGTCCATTTCAAATACGAATAAACGAATCGTAGTCTCTTGTAGCCGAAACGTCGCTACATTCGATTCAACCAAATATGTTGGAAAACAATCCTCAATCGAAATCTGAGACTCAAAAAGAAGTGTCCGAACATGAAATTGTCGTTCCGGATATAATAAAAAATAAAGATTCTTCATTAGAAACTTTTGAAGAGTTATCGATTTCAACGCATCCACTTAATAATGGTAAATTCTATTAAACTTATATTGATAATAACATACAAAACACATAAAACACAAACTAATATATTAACGATTATGTGCCAATAACAACAGTTATATTTAAAATAAGTGTTCGTAGGGCTAATGAAATAAAGCCCAGGCCGTATCCCTACAGCCAATAGCCCGCCTAGATCCTATACAATAACAGTTTAATTACAAAATCCCTAGAAAACTATTTATATAATTTTAAGTATATAAATAAACATAAATAGTAATTGTAATTCACCAGTACAAAAAGCATTATAGATAATACACAAATACGAGTATAAAGAAAACACAGTTAGATACGTGGACCACGACCGCGTAACTTCCGTGTCGGGTGTCTACAACTCTGGCTAATCATAATGGAATGTTCATTCACGAAATACAATAATACAATTTTACGAAATTTAAAATCAAATTAAATTTATTAAATATTCATAACATATTTCAATATAAAGTTATAGCATTTTGTGTATTTAATATAAAATAAATTGATTTTCTTTAACATTTTGTATTGCTCCAAAATAAAGTTTATTGATTATTCTTTTTTCGTGTCATTGCTATACTTTAGAAGTGGAATCAGAACCTGAAATTTCCTATACAAGTGATTCTGATGCGGATAATTCCTCATCATTCAATACCGAAAAAAATATGGAGCGAGTTAAACAAACTGAAACAATAATGGACGTAACAGGAGACACCACAATTGACGAATCGGAAGATTTCGATGTCGACGAAGTTTCTATTGCTGTAAGTTTACATATGATTAGATTTTTCTTTTCGGCAAATTTCTTAATATTTATATCGCTTGGTAAATATAACATTGTAATAGCAGTAGACATTGTAAAAAACACTCGATCTAAATTGGCCAAAATATAAGAAAATATTCTTAAAAGCCATTAAATAAATTTACTAAAAACTATCATATACATTTTTAATCGTATGTGGNCTATTTTATCAAATAGAAATTTTGATTATTCCTAGAAGATAATATATATTATATAATTTTTAAATTACATTTACTCAAGAATAATAAGAAAAAATTAATCTGTAAAAAATAATGTAGAATAAATTGAAAAGTGCTAGTGCAACAAGGAAGTTTACAAATTCCATTAATTAAAACCACCACCGTGCAGTATTATCTGTAAATTTACTGCGTACAAATTGAAACGAGTTAGTGAAGAAGTGAATTCTATTATTTTGCTAAATGATACTTTTCAATGTATTTGGTTTTCTAGCAATCTATCAGACACTTTTGCAAATATTTATTAAATTGGTTTTATTATAAGTTATTGATGTAACTTAATAAATTTACAACTCTACATCTATAATAAACTGCATAGTTTCGCGTCTAAATAACTGATTTGTGTTTACGAATGCCACAGACAAAACATTTACAATTGTTATAAAGTAAATATTACTTATGCTATAATTTATTTCTTAATAAATATTAAGATTTGAAATATTTACCTTTATATATTATGTTAAATTCATGAAGTCTATATGTGACAGATTGAAATTATTGAAAATTAATAGCTAATATAATCTAAATTCATCTTTTTTTTAAGGCCTTAATCTTAATAAAATCATATCCAAAGTATTTAGTAGTAGTTCAAAATATAAAATTAAGAGATAATTAATATAATTACATCACTGATCTTTAAAAAAACATACTAAAAATGTATAAAATAGAATACAACTATAAATTTTGTATTTAAAAACAGGAAATAAGATGAATTATCATGTATTTTATTTAGCAATATTCCTCGTTTCCAATTTATACTTAAAAGTACATATTTACACTTCTACGTAATAGAATGAACAGTTAATATACGAAAGGCCGAAGCGTAATAAGTAACGTGTTCAATTAATCAAGAAAAATGTCAAAAAATCGAAACGATATCGGAAATATTAAGCTTATAAACTCCGGAAACAAGCTATTTTTTAAAAAATCAACACTTATAGGCTAATTTACACATATTTTACTACCAGTTAACACTTTACAGGAAGCGCAACTACTACATAACAAAAATCATATCGTCCCGATAAGAAAAACATCAAAAAAAGACGATAAAAAAAAGCAACAATACGACAGAATAAAACTGCATCCTTTACAACTGGGTCAAATTCAATCTGTTTACTTCATTTCATTCAAGTTAGAAGAATAAATGCCTAGTCTAGAAAAAAAAAGTTGACAAATTAACCTAGTTTATATTGTTTCTGATAAGTTTAAAACAAATGAATTCATTAAAAATAACTTATTTAATCTATTTCTAAGCATGGTTTGAATATAAAAATGACGTAAGGAGAAAGTGAAGCGCGCGTGGACCACGTGACGAAGCTTAATAACCAATTAAATCGAAGTTTTTAATTGATGTCTTGATTCAATTAACTCGCTTATGTTTATAAACATTGGGTAAAACCGACGGGGAAGCGTTATATGGATTATTATATAAGAAATAATTGAAGACGTGTAAGAGTAGATTGATCTTAACGTGTTTACGACTCGTTAATGTTTGTAAACAATTGAATTACCTGAACTTTCTTTCTGGTCCCATGTCCACTGGTCTGACGGTGGTGCGTCGCCATGTTGGTTGCCGATGGATAGCGATGGTTATTTTCATCACATTTACAACCAACCGATTCGAATATTGCCATTCGCAGTTGTCATTCATGCACTTGACGGGCTTCCGATCATAAATTCCACCACATTTGTTGTTTGTTTTCGTTACAAACGTTTAAAAAAAAAAAAAAATAATCCTAACTCCCTCTCCTCGGCGAGTGATTTTTGACCGAAGGAGACTTCGGGAGCGAGATTAGCGCCATGTCATGTGATTTTTTGGATTTAAAAATTTTATTTATTTTATTTTATTTTTAATGTTTAAATGTAATATTATTAAATTTTATTCGTAATTTGATTAAGATATATATTAATTTAATACTTATAACCGATAAATTAAGTTTTTAATATTTTAAAACGTATGTGACGTATTTTTTTATTTTATTAATATAACGACGTTTATTGAAACTCGTACATATTTTTTCGTGTTTATTTTTGAAATTTAATAATTATGACGTAAAATGTAAAATGTTCTTACTTAAATATTATGGAAATAAATATGTCAATGTTTTGATTTTGTTAACGAAGATGTTTACAGCGCCAATATGCTATAGTAGTGGGAGCTAGAACTAATTATGTAAGCGGGAAATTGTTAAAATAGAAACCGTTAATAATATATAGAAAGAATATTTTTATTAGAAATTCGCCAAACCGGCACCCGAAATGTTCGGTAATGCAGCATTCTTTAAAATGTAGCTGATAATCCGAAATGCCAATATTCCACGAATCGGAATTTGAGCACGTGGTGCCGCTCACGTTGCTAGATATCGGGAAATTGATCATGATTGTAATTGAGAAAAATTACTCATTTTGCTTTAGCTTCTTTGAGTCTGGTCGAATGCTTTCCTTTGTGCATTTCTGTGCCTAATACGTGTTTATCCATAATCGCCACAATGGTGCAAACAGGCCACAGAACAATGCGAAGACAATGCACCTAATAACTAGTTTCTCAATACTTGGAGCATGTGTATAGTACCTTTTGTGAATCGTACGTAGGAGAAAATTGTATCTTGAACATACCAGTGTCGGATTGGGTCAAAAAATATTGGTTGTCAGGAGACACAAGATATCTTATATTGGAATTGAGTACAGATAGTGTGCAGATGACATTTTAAAATTTATAAAAGTTATTATATGCCTTGTCATAAAGTCTATTGGATACCAGAATCTTTAGTACATATGATGATCAAGTGCTACAAATTTTTACACCTGTTACAATTAAAATCCATATTCTCAACATCATTAATTTTTTGATTCTTTCGTGGTGCAATTTTATTTATTAATATTCAAACGTCGTTATATAAAATATAATCACATATATTTATTTACGTTCATTTTTTGAATAAATCATCTACTAACTTGGAATANGAATACTATATACCCCCGGAGCTCTAAGATCGTTCTGTTTGTCTTTTGCATTACGTAGTAATTGATATATATTGGGGGTTCTTCGGTACGCTACCTTGGTGTTCGTTTTAGTCGCAATTTCTCTATATAACGCTTGAAATTGTTTGCTGTATTCAACGATGTTGAGTCTTCTGTTTGAATCTTGATTAGCATTTTGAGTAATGGTTGCCTCTTGTGTTTCATGTGTTCGTAAATAGGCATTTGCCAGTCCTCGTATTAGTTCTTTTCTGTATCCATGTGCGACTGCAATGCGTTCTATATTTTGTAACTCAGTTATCGTGTCACTTCATTTAGAAGAGTACGTAAATGCTCTTCTAACCAACACCCGGAATGCTGCGATTTTATAATTGTACGGGTCCGCTGAGTTTGCCGGTATAAACCATGGATGTAGCTGGGTTTATAATATATACCCGTATCAATACTTCCACCGTTGAGCATGATGTTTATGTCCAGGAAGTGTGCATTGGTGGTAGTTAATTGATCTAGTTTCAGGGTCAGCCCGTATGGATTTTTGTTCACGTGGCTCAAAAACTCATTGATGTGTGGTTTCGTTTTCCACAGAATAAAGACATCGTTCACATATCTCTTATAAATAATTATATTAGAACTATACTTTGGTATGACTGTTTCTTTCAATCTACGTAATACCAGCTCACATAAGTCGCTAGACAGCGGGCTGCCCTTGGGTACCCCTCGTTTTTGTAAATAGGTCTTGTTGTTAAATTGGAATATGGAGTTGTATCACATAAGATGCGCTAATTCCAA